TGCAGCATCGGGAAGAAGATCGACGACGGTAGAAATTCAACGTTGGGTAAAAGGTTGACAAATGCCCGAAGAAGGATAACGATGGGCATAAGTTCGAAGTCAGGAAGAAATTTGATGAATGTCCGGGGCCAGAAGTCTGACGCTGGGTAAAAGTATTACATCAGGTAGAAGACTGACGAAAGTCCATCGACGGGCAGAAATCCGACGATGGGTAGGAGTCCGATTGCAAGCAAAGGTCCGACATTGGATAGAATTACTATGTCGGGTAGAAGACCGACGAAAGTCCATCGACGGATTTAAGTCCAACGATGGGTAGAAGTACTATGTCTGGTAGAAGACAGACGAAAGTCCATTGACAAGCAGAAGTCCGACAATTGTTAGAAATTTAACTTTGTGGAGAAGCCCGATGGAAGTCCATCAACGGCATTCTGACGACGTTAACCAAAGACGTAAAACCTATCCAAGATTTATGTCAGTTTCTACTTGATGATTTTAATCTGTTTGAAAGAGGTTAAAATGATTCACCAAGGATGTAAGACCTATCCAATGTTTTATGTCAGAGCCTTTGCTCGATGACCTTAACCTGTATGAAAGAGGTCGAGAGAATGCACCAAGGATGTAAGACCTATCAGAGGTTGTATGTCAGAGCCTTTGCTCGATGATGTTAACCTGTGTGGAAGAGCTCGAGAGAATCCACCAAGGATGTTAGATCTATCTGAGGTGAATATCAGAGCCTTTGATCAATAACGTTAACTTGTGTGGAAGAGGTCGAGAGAATCCACCAAGAATGTAAGACCTATCCTTGGTTGTATGTCAGAGCCTTTGCTCGATGACGTTAACCTGCGTGGAAGAGGTCGAGAGTATTCGCCAGGGATATAAGACCTATCCGAGGTTGTATGTCAGAGCCTTTGCTCGATGACCTTAACATGTGTGAAAGAGGTCGAGAGAATTCACCAAGGATGTAAGACCTATCCGAGGTTGTATGTCAGAGCCTTTGCTCAATGACGTTAACCTGTGTGGAAGAGGTCAAGAGAATCCACCAAGGATGTAAGACCTATCCGAGGTTGTATGTCAGAGCCTTTGCTCGATGGCGTTAACCTGAGTGGAAGAGGTCGAGAGAATCCACCAAGGATATAAGACCTATTCGAGATTGTATGTTAGAGCCTTTGCTCGATGATGTTAACCTATATGGAAGAGATTGAGAGAATCCCCCCTGGGATTGATTTTGCCTTGATTGGGAGGGGGCGAACGCCGCGTGTATCCCGAATCAAAAGTGAAAAATGGTTTATCTTTAGACCGTTATTGCCTTTTTGAGATCGAGATTAAAACCTTGCCCGAGTAGAAGTCCATTAAGGGATTGTATATGGCTTTCGGAAGCATCCTTGCATTTGCCGGGAGTTTTGTGAAGTATCATCTTGATGATGAAAGCATCGGAGGATTTTTTTGACTAGAGTTGGAGTCAAAGTTGCCCCCAGTCCGCATATGATTCTTATGACATTGATGCAATAATGAATGATGTCAGAAAGTTGATAAGGGCGATCTTTTGAGATTGGAGCAATAATTGCCCCTCAGTTGGGAATCACATTCCCACAGACGGCGCCAAACTGTTGCGTCCTGGAGTATTCGCGGCGGTAGAGAAATATATAGTTTAATGTCTTAGCATTGTATGAAGATCCAGCACACAATCAGATAAGAGAGAGGGTGTAACATTCATAAGAGACACCAGAGTTTTTATGTGGAAACCCTTGGAAAAAGGGGGAAAACCACGGGGCCTAGCCCAGTTTGAATGATTCCACTAGTATTTGCAATCGATTACAAACGAGGCCCTTTTTAGGGAGAATGCCTTGGCTTAATGGTATAAATATCCATTATATAGAGCGCATTACATGGTGGGAGTTACAATACTCAACATAGACATTTTTGTTTGGTTGGAAGGGTCGTAGTCGGCAGGAGACAGACGTCAGAAAGACCGTTCTCTGGCAATGTAAGCTGGAAGGACCACAGTAGGTGATGGAGGTCGGAAGGACCATAGTAGGCGACGGAGGTCGGAAGGATCGTAGTCGGCAGGAAATTGGGGTCTAAAAGACCATTGTTGTAGGGCGGTACTCTGGTAGAACTCTGGGCGTCAGGTAGTGGCCCAGTAGAAGTCCGGGCCTCAGGTGGTGTTTTGGTGGAGTATAGGGCCTCAAGTGGTGGTTAGGTGTAAGTCCGAGCCTTAAGTGGTGGCCTGGTGAAGCAAAGGGCCTCAAGCGATGGTTCGGTGGAAGTCCGGATGTCAGGTGGTGGTCTGGCGGAGGTAAGAGCCTCAAGTAGTGGTCCGGCGGAGCAACGACGTCAGGAAGTGGTCCGACAGAGGTGAGAGCCTCAAGTAGTGGTCCGACGGAGTAACGACGTCAGGCAGTGGCTCGGCAGAGGTGAGGGCCTCAAGTAATGGTCCGGCGGAGCAACGGCGTCAGACGGTGGTCTGGCAGAGGTAAGGGCTTCAAGTGGTGGTTCGGCGGAGCAACGGCGTCAGGCGGTGGTCCGACGGAGGTGAGGGCCTCATTTGGTGGTCCGGCGAAGGCGAGGGCCTCAAGTGGTGGTCCGACAGAGCAACGGTGTCTAGCAGTGGTCTGGCGGAGGTGAGGGCCTCAAGTGGTGGTTCGACGGAGTAGCGGCGGCGTCAGGCGGTGGTCCGGTGGAGGAGAGGACCTCAAGTGGTGGTCCGACGAAGGCGAGGGCCTCAAGTGGTGGTCCGATGAAGTCGAGGGCTTCAAGTGATGGTTCGGCGAAACTCTGGCGGTGGTCGAGGAGGAGCTTCTTCCTTCTCTTCTCTTCTTCTCTTCTTGCTTCCATCCCCTTTCAAGAGAAATGAGGGGTCTATTTATAGATTTTCTGGAGTGGCATGACCCGTAAATAGGTGAGAGATCATGGGCAAATGTGGAGTTGTTCAATGGACTGTCGATATTGAATCCCTTGATCATGGATCGTTCGTCAGACATTTGAAGGTCTTAATGGTGTCGGAATTTGGCTATCTTGGGCTCGTTGGATTCGTCTCGTCGAGCCGCTCGATTCGACTATTAGCATGTTATGTTTGGAAACCGTTTGATAATCCAAATTGTGATTCAAACCTTCCAACAGCGCTTCAGGTCCTTGGTTTGGACTCATTTGGGCTCGGATTGAGTCGAATTTGGTGTCGTTGGGTTTGCATTTCCGAGATGCTCAATTTGACTATAATTTTGCTGAAATCGGAGTTCAATTGATCCCATATTTAATTTTTGAAGTTTTCAGCTTGATTTTGCATCGAGATTTGTGCCCGTTCGAGATAATTTTTTGATGATATATCAGCTGCTAATTCAAAGTATAAAAGAGAATTTTACCTTAAGAATTCATATGATCAAGTATCATCGGAATTGATTTGATGGATATTACAGGGAAAAAATGTGTCAAAGGTATGTTGATTGGAAGTAGTTTAGGATTTACTAAAAACGTTTTATTAATATGATTTGATCAAATATCAATATTACCGTTATATTTTTGTTTTATAGTTTTAAATAATATTCATTTAGTTTCCTTTGTGTTGCTATTTGCAAATAACGTTACTTAGATATGTGAAATATCTTTTGAAGTAAATGAAAAGTTAGAACTGTGAAGGAAATTTATATATCAAATGAAGATTAAAGCTAGCATAAATAGCAGATGTGAAATGGATACTTCATGAGTTGATATTGTTTTGAGGATAGATGATCATATGATATCTTTGATTTAGTATGGTAAAGATTTAGATAGATTTAGATAAACTTGTGTTTATAACTTCTAAAATTGAAGTTTAACTTCTAAAATGGAGATGTGTTAGGGGCTCGGTGTAAGGAAGCATTATTGAACTCTTAAAGGTAGTCATTTGAAATAAGATAGTTGAAAATCGACTTAAACGATTTGGATTATATATTGAAAATCAACTTAAACAATTTGGGCTTATATATTGGAGAGTAGAAGTTATGTCAATAAGACAAGTGGAATTTGTCTGGATAATTTTAGAAGGAAAATAAATAAAACACAATTAACATGTCAAGGGTTGTATACTAATAATTTTGTATGATAGAGTTAGCTTCTTATATAGAACTCAATAAGAACGAATGAAGGATGATCATGAAGTGGATCCCTAAGAGTTAGGATAAGGCTAATGATGTTCTTGGTGTTGTTGCTTTATTTAGGGATTCTTTTGATTTGATACGTAGCATATTCAAATTGATTCATATTTGTTGGCTGCAATTGTTTTCGATTAGTTTTTAACTAAATTGAGATAAATATGGGATTTGGGGTTATAGTTAGTCGAGTCAAAGGAGCTGATCCCAACTCAAAATAATTTTCTTTTTTTAATTTAAATTTTAGTTTTGTTCAGTCCCGAAATTGATTTATTTACTTTTAACCAAAATTATATATTACGTATCATACAAGTTTGCAGGCATGAATGTATGACTATACATATTTGTATTTAAGTACCTTTGTTGGCGAATCTCTTGCAGGATGGCCAAGACCATTTTTTTCAATATGCCCACAGTTTGCACATGATACTTTTTTAACAGTATTTTATTTCTTCCGAGTCATATGTTCATGAAGTTTGACATTTAAGCGCTATATTTTTCATTTAAAAGGCTTTCCAAAATTTTATTTTAGTTCTTGAAACTTGGATCTCTTTTTCATTTGAGTTAGAAGTTCAGCAGTGGTGTGTTTTTGACTGACTGTAACTTCATTTTTGAGAAGAAAGACTTATATTTGGTTGTATATTTTCTTAAGGAAACTCAATTTGATTTGGAAACTAGTTGATGTAGCTAAATACATTTGACGGATTCAAATCCTGGACCACTATTTTAGCGATCTAATTTTTTATTTATTTTATTTGTGCTCAGATGTGGTATGTGCATGCCATGGAAAATTATGTTTGCATAAAATATTCAATCATTGTTTAACAAGCAACTCCAATGAAACTTCTTTCATCCTTTTCCCCCGTTCTCCCACAGGATCAAGACCAAGAAAGTTTACTTGAGCAGCTGCATTCTCTTTCTGATGCTTTGGAATTCCAGCAGAATGAAATAAAGAATGCCAGAGATATATTACGTTCAACAAGAGCTAAGCTGGCTGTTATGGAAGGCAAGATTGCACTTGAGGTCATGTATGAAGTTTTAGCCATTTCATTTCTCTTTAATTTATTCTTGTTATTTATTTTATTTAAATTTTTTAATCTTCTCTACAGTGAATTTCAAAAAGTTATTGAAGTTAAACAACTGAGGCTTGCTGCTGCTGAAATGTCCCTGAGTATTTTGCGCTCTGTATGCATAGTCTGGCCTAACTCTGCCTCAGAAGTTCTTCTTACTGGGTCCTTCGATGGATGGACAAGTCAGGTTTGCTATTTTCTGATGCTTCGCATTTTTTTTTTTCTGTTTCTTCTACCCTAAATCTCAATTGATGGCATACTCATGTTGAGAATTATTCTTTGATTAGTTTTTGCAATATACATTCATATTAAGAATGAGTTGGAGGGGGATCTCATACCTGCAAGGATCACATAACTACCACAATTAATTGGGCAGATGTGTCTGATATCTTAACAAATTTTCATTTTCCCATTTCTCATTTTCAAACTTAAGTGTTTTTCAACATTCGCCTCCCTTGTTTAACTTGAAATTTAATGCAAAGCTGCCAAAGCCTCTTCTAAAAGTTATGAATCAACGAAGGGGATGGTTGAATTGGGTATTTTTAAATTATTAAAATAAATAGAATATTATTTCTTATAAATTTATCACTGGGTAAAAATTAGAGAGCAAAAATAATAATTTCTTCAAATAAGAATAATGCATAACACTAAAAAAATATTCTCTTTCTTTTTTATTTAAACTAATATATTGATTTTCACAAAGAGTTTAACATTTACATTTTCTAAATAATTTCTTTGAATCAATCACCACATGCAATTAAATATTTAGTGTTATATGTAATTTATGTGCACAAGAGTTATAATAAATATGAAAGCTAAAAAAAACTGTAGTTAAGGGAAAAAGAAATGCAAATTGATTTATCATTGTTCGATCACCAACTAGTCTTACTTTTTACTCATCAAACTCTCATGTCATTATTTTTAAGGGATTTTTACATACATACCACTTTATAACATGTGTATTACATATTTAACACCTAATTCTTAAATATTACACTCCTACCACTATTCTCTATTTTTACAACAAAATTACCACTCCGTTGAAATAAGACCTCACTCCGTCTCTTTCATTCGGCTAGCCCTAACCACCGCGAAACCATCTTCTCTCCCGATCTTCCTCTCACGGGCTGCATATCTTCACATATCTTTCTCTCGCAGGCTGCAAATCTTCCTCGCAACTCTTCTGAAATCTTTATTGAATGAAAAATCAAACATCCTCATTTTGAACATTTTCAGTAAAGCCATTATTGAATGAGTAAAAACTGATGTCGAGTATTGCTATAAGAAAAAAAATCTGTTCACGCGGGAATAAAAAAACAGAGAAATCTTACCAATTTCGGAAGAAGAGCAGCTATGGTGGAAGAGCAGCAACGGGTAGCTGGAAGAGCAGCTACGGTGGAAGATTATCTACGGGTAGCTGGAAGAGCAGCTACGCTATCGAAGAGCAGCTACAGTGGAAGAGTAAATACGAAGGGATTTGAAAAAAAATCACGATGATTCACAATCGGACAAAGAACAGCAGCGGGAAAAAAAACCTGTTCTCCCGCGGAAAGCCCAGACAGGAGGAAGATAAAACGGAGTGAGATATTGTTGTTAACGGAGTGGTAATTTTGTTGTGAAAATAGAGGATAGATGGTAAGAGTGTAATATTTAAGAATTATGTGTTAAATATGTAATATGCATGTTATAAAGTGGTATGTATGTAAAAATCCCTATTTTTAATTATTCTTTCCTTTGCTAATGCAAAGCGGAGAAGTCTCCTTAATGGGTAGAGTAACTCACAACACTTGCTTAAAAGGAGAAAAAGGCTACTATTATTAGTACATTCCGTTAACTAAACAACGTTCACTTCAAGGCAGGAAAGCTGTCACTCTTACCCTTACCCACTAGTTAATCAACCTTCTGCAAGATCCCTTAGATATCCAATATGTCTCTTTAAAAAAAAATTAATAATGCTCTCAAAACCAAATGTTGAAATGTGAAGGTTATAAGGTTTGCAGGAAGAAGATGAGTAGGTGTAGGAGATGATTTTCTCTCTCCAAAATTTATCACTTTATGGGTTTGCAAGTTATACTAATGATTGTTAGCGATGATCACTATATCTTCTAACCAAACAACTCAATTAATGTTGATTAAAAACTAAAATTATCGGCCAATTATTTTGGTTGATCATGATCGTATAGTACGATCATGATTGCATGGTGCAAGCAGTTCAATTTTTATTAAAATTGTTAGCTAATTTTCAATATTTGATTTATTACATTATATTAGGAAATTGATTTTACAGTATGGTATGCATCATACAATTCAATTAATTCAAACTTTAAATATTATAACTAATGCAAATTATTTTTGTTGATTTAGTTTAATATTTAATCACTCTATATTGTATGATCTCAATATCAAGTTTTATTGATAATATAATTACTTAATTAGTCAATCTGTTTGATTTATTTGAAATGATATTGAACCTAATTGTATAGTATCATCCTTGGTCAGATATTATGATTAGTTATAGATTTTTTAATTTTACTTTCTTGCTTGATTTCATTAATTTAAAAATGTAATTATGTTTTTGCGTAAGCCATCCTAGCATCCCAGCATTTGAAATAACAATAATTTATGAGTCAAAAAATAAATACACATTTGTGTACCTGAAGCTTATTCTTGATAACAGTTCAGCTAGCTGGGTTTGATCCGCCCACGGCTTCACACTAGTCATAAATATAGTTCAGGACATGCTTAATTTTAATTTGCCAATTTAAGCTGTACTTGAAGTACTTTTGCTATTCTTAATCAACAATATTAGCTTATATCAAATTATATTTGTGGCTATAAAATTCTTATTATAAGCTTTAAGCTCATTGGGTTTATATCTTCAACGACTTTTCCTTGTATGTGACTCTCTATCTATGCTTGTATGTAAATGTTGTTCTTGATCATTAATTACTTCAGTGGATATTTTGCTTCTCAATTACCACCTTTTGGGTATGGTTTCTAATTTTATTGTGTGATATCTGCATATTTGGTGTGCTATATTTGTGATTTGATTCGTGAAATGGATTGTGTGATCATGTCAAGTTATGTTGTGATCTACTTGTGGGCTATGAAAATTCTAGCCCCAGCCTCTCCGCGGACTCCTTTTTTTTCTTTGGATTGTCAAGGAGAGTCTTAACATTTAAGTTTCGAGGCAAATTTTCAAAAGGCAAATTAGGCTTTAAATATAACAGTGCCTAGAGATTTTGCCCTCATTTTGCAATGATTTATAATCAAGTTCAAATTTCGTATAGGTGTAAGCCCCTACAGTGATTTACCCCTCCCAATAACGATAGAGAACTTTCGATTACGGCTAGTTGTCAAATAGATACAGAGCATCTGGCATATAGTTGCAACATGGTTTAGGTATTTGAATATTTGATATTTAAAATTAGTAATTTCACCATCTTACACTTAAAGCAGATGGTAAGGGGAATGATGATCGATCAAGATCACATGGTTCCATCGTCCTGGGCCATCGTGGTCCCTGGTTTACTTAGTTAGAAGAGGTAGTCGACCCAAACTGATAAAAGGATCCTTATTAACAGGCATGGGTTGCTTCGTCCAAAGGTACCTCGTAGACCTATGATGAATATTTTGTCAAGTGTATAAATTTAAATCCACCTTAGCTAACAGAGGGTTTTTTCCTCTATCGATCATATAATATTGATTCATTACTTAATAATTTAACATCGTTGGAGAACATACGGTCTTTGACCATGACTGTAATATAATTGTGCCATTTGGCTGCAAAACCACCCGATCAGAAGGTTCCGGTCATAACTGTTTACCTGTGGTGTCATTTAGCGGCAAAACCATCAGTGTGGTGCCATTTGGCCGTGAAATCATCGATTAGATGACACATGCCACATCCTTATAAGCAAGAGACTATTTTAGAATGAATTCTAGTGATATTCTCTACAAGATATTAGCTCTTTGTGAGTTCAAGTAATTTTCAAATTCATCCACCTCGGCAAATTATGCGGAGGATGGATGAATTTTGCTTTAAGTATTTGATGGTTAATTTCAATCTTAAATATCTTATGCTTTTGGTTAATTTTGAGTTTTGAGTTTTCATGGGAATTAAGAGACATTTTTAAATATTTATGGTCCCCTCCAGTTGAGATTTTTTATCAATACGGCCATCGTCAGGGTTTTTATAGGTTACATTTTCGTTGATTGAACTTTATCGACTCTGTCAATTTATTGACAGAGGATCAGGTTTATATCTAAATTCATTCCTTAACCTGCGCAGCATTCTTAGACGTTGTGTGTGCACCTACAACACCCTCGATGGGGTATATTCGGGTATATGTTGTCACATGTATTTTATGTGATGCATGTATATGATTGTTATATGAATGAAGTGGATGTATACGAATACGATGCATATTTATCTCATTTCGCATGCGTCTTCCACTAAATCTGTAAATCCACCTAATGTTGGGATTTACTAAATCCCGGATTTATGGCATAAATATTTAAATTTAGGATTTATGAGGGATTCATATTTACTATGCGCTCGAAATCTTTTTGGAAGGATTTAAATCCAGCATAAATCTTGTTGCAAATCCTATACCTAATAGCCCCTAAGGATCACTCAGTTTAGAAGTCACTTGAAAGTTCATGAAGGTTGTTAGACATTATAGAACTAGTCCTGTGACTAACCAAGAGGGGGTGAATTGGTGATCTAGAAACTTATTTAAACACAAAGAAAAATCCCTCTTTTAACATCTGAAAATAGATAATTTTATCTCTTGATGCGGAAGCAAAGTAATTTCACAATAACAAAAAATCAGAGATTTTCAACCATGCAGTTATCACAAAATAAATGCGGAAAATAAAGTGCGGAAAAATAAAATCAAGAATAAACACACTAGAGATTTATAGTGGTTCGGTCAACCTGACCTACGTCCACTCCTCGGAGACTCCCTCTCCAGGTATTGAAACTCTTTAGTGACTCTTCTTTAGCCCCCATAGCTAAGCGAAGAAGTCCTTACAAACTCTCTTCCACCAACTCGGTGCGGTAGAGGACTATACTCCTTTCACATGCAGAGAACCTTGACTTCTTTTCACCATCCTAGTCAGGAAGATAACCTAGAATCACTTTCACTTTCCCCAGTGCAGCGGAGTAGCTGAGTCATTTAACACCAAAGTGATCTTCTTCCCAAAACTTTTCTCAAGACAAACCTTGAACACGATGGTACTAAGTTGCAAGCTTTACCAGAGCAACCATGCGAAACCCCCTCCACACTCCCTTGAACCCCATAAGGATTTTCTCCCTCTTAAACTCCACCCTTCCTCTCTCCCTTTCAAGGCTCTCTCTTCAAGTTTTCTCCAAAAGAGTATATAATCAATCATAGCTGTCAATGGCACAAAATAGCGTGCGCCATGGCGCACGGCGCGGCGCAGTGCACCTACGGCGCCATGTTATGGCGAGGCGCATGTGTTTAAAATAGCGTGCGCTATTTGCGCCACATGTGAGTCATGGCGCATTGCGCACGGCGCAAAATAGCGCGCCAAATTGTTTTAAATTTCGGTATACTTATGAATATTTTTTATATTTAAAAATATATCTATATTTTAAGATAAACGACTATTCATTGCCCTAATTTCACGAAAGATTCTCTTTTTGCTGCATCCACCGAACACATCCCGCAGTCCCTAAGTCGAGGTCGCTGAATCTATCCCGAAGTCGAAGGTTTTCTGTTTTCTGTTTGCTGCATTCGCTGCTTCTGCCGAATCCAGCCGAATCTGTCCCGAAGTTGAAGTCGTTGTTTCCGCCGAATCGTCCCGCAGAGCAGTGCTTCTGCCAAATCCGCCCCCTCCTTCATCTGTTCCAATAAAAAATGTTACCAGCTGACTCTAATTTGCAACCTCCGTCTGTTTCGCACAGCTCTGTTGTTTTGCACGGCTATTTCTTACAAGAATTTACAACTTAACAGGTATGCTCGGTACCGTTAGGTGCATGCTCGATACCTCTAAGTAAATACTCGGTACCGCTATGTATATGCTGGATACCGCTCGGCACCGCTAGTTACTTGCTCTGTACCGCTCGGTACAGCTCGGTACAACTAAGTACAGCTCAGTACAACTAGGTATCAGCTCAGTACAACTAGGTACATGCTCGGTATTGCTAAGTACATGCATGATACCGCTCGGTACCGTTATGTAAATGCTCGGTACCGCTTGGTACATGCTCGGTACCGCTAGTTACATGCTTTGTACCACTCGGTATAGCTCGGTAAAACTAGGTACACGCTCGGTACATGCTCGGTATTGCTAAGTACATGCATGATACCGCTCGGTACTGCTATGTAAATGCTCGGTACCACTCGGTACATGCTCAGTACCGCTAGTTACATGCACTGTACCGCTCGGTACAACTAGGTACACGCTCGGTACCGCTCCCTAATTTCCATACAAACGAACTTCAAAATTCCTCTAACAAATAAATTTTGTTCCGGGGCAGCGCCCCCTTGGACCCCCGGCAGCCCCCATATTATGTTTCTTGGACAATATTATGTTTCTTTTATCTAAATTTGTTTGCTTTTAGGTGATCATAAAATATCAGATTCAATTCAATCTTTAAAAAAAGATCCAGCATGGAAATATGCTACACTAACAAATGAATCCGACAACAACAGTGTGACATGCATTTTTTGTAGTAAAATAACAAAAGGAGGAATTCACAAGAAGAGTATATTAAATTCTTATTTGATCTTTTAAAAAAAAGATTGTAATATTTGAATTATGAGATATTTGGATGTTACTTAGTCGAACTTATATATGTTATGGTTGTCTTTTATTATTATGATCGCTTGTCTTTCATTTTCAATAATATTTCATATTCATGCTTATTATTTTATAATTTTTATATAGCTTGCGACATGTTCAAAATAGCGCCCGCCGCACCATGCGCTATGTGCCATGGCTCCAAATGGACCTTTGCGCCATGGTGCGCTATTCGCCGTTAACAGGTATGGACTCAATGTATGCCAAAGATACTTACAATGTCTTTGGAGAAAGTTTAAATAGAAGACTTTGAAAAACTCCAGAATTTCAATTCTGTCGTCAAAGATCATATTGTACGATCGCAGGATCGTCTAGTACAATGTGCAGAATTTGACCTGATAGAATTGTAAGATCACCATATAGTTCAGTACGATCAGTTCAAATTTGTATTGATCATCCAATATGATATTGGGGATCGTCATGGATGATTAGATGAATAATTATGGTATTTCATCTTGTATGATTGGGGGTCGTCCCATGCATCCTCTCGGTCGTCCAGTACGATCATCACTGATCGTCCTGGACAATTGGATTGAACAAATTAATCATAATTAATTTTTTAATCGCAGGATCAATTTAGACATGATTGTCATATATCGTCCAGTATGATGTAGATTGTCCTGTACAATTAGAACAAAATTTGAATCTTAAAATGTTGCCTAAATTATCATTGACGGATATTTTTTATGATAATAATTGATCGTCTTGGATGATCTAAATCGTCCAGTACGATTTGTTAGATGAGTTGATCGTACAATACGATTTAAATCATATAGTACGATGAGTTCAAAATTTTAACTCCTGGCTTTGACTCAATCTCACTCCTCCTGAGTGCGTGCATGCATAGTCATCAAGCAAGCATACACCCTTATAGGACTTGAATCAAGAAATAAAAAATATATCAATGAATATTACAAAAATCTTTACAACATAACATATTCTACCCAATCTTGAGCCTTGAATCTTTATTGGATGGTGCATGGTGTTCTTGAAATATTAGTTCACACATAAACAAATTTACATTGTAAATACAATTAGACATAAGGATGTAAGCCACAATGTTTGTTATCATAAAATAACATAAACTCGTGAGCTCGAGTTGCAACATCATTCTCCAACGAGGACTCCCTTAGAGCTACTCGTAGCCACTTTGGGCAGAGGGTCACCAATGAAATCCATCATCCTAGCTATAGGGAAGGATCCTCCTAAGAGGATTTAAGATCACCTCATCATAGTCACCTAGCCACAGAGTCCTCTACCGTCGCAATTTTACGTGAAGGATTTTTCACGTAAAATTTTAGTGCTATTGCACTCTTTGTTTACTTATGTATGTTGGATCATCGTTTAAAGCTATTGCACTCTTTGTTGATTCTTTTCATTGGTTTCATCAGTGGAGGATGGAAAAGAACAATACTGGGGTGTTTTCTTTGTGCTTGAAGCTCTATCCTGGACGCTATGAGGTAAGGGCTCCTCCCTCCCAACATGTATTATGAACTATATTCTTGCATGTTCATCTTCCTATGCTTTGCTGATTCCTGTACAGATCAAATTCATTGTTGATGGTGTTTGGGCAATCGATCTCTTACGTCCTATTACCAACAATAATGGCTTCAAAAACAATCTCCTTATTGTTACGTAAGTGCTGAACATTCTTGCTTGTAATTTAAATAGTTTAGCCGTTACTATGGTTAGCCCACTCTAATCAATTCAACTGATGAGAAGATCTGTAGCTTATAATTGTAGAAGGTAGCCTATTTTTGTCTTCTTTTTATCTGGCCCGGCATGGGAATTGCACCCTTGTGCTTGGGAAACAAACTTGTAATACTTTTTGCTTTAACATTTGTAAACTGATCAGTTAAATCATTTAAATTTATTTTTTCACACTAATAAGTGCTGTTATTATGACCCCTGCAATGCAATTTGTTTTTTATTTTTCTTTAGTTGTTACAACACGAGAATTTAAGGCTTCGTTTGTGACAGTTTTCTTATTGCTATTTAAAGCAATTTTTTTTAACAAAAATTTTGAAAGCTGCTTTATGAAGCAGTAAAAAAGTTATCTCAAACGACACCTAAATCTCAATGATACCCTTGTTTCTCACTGAAACATTTATTAGTTTTACCAAAGTCTAAATCTATTAGTTTTTGAGATCAAATTTAGAATCATATGAACTTTCATTTCAATAAACTATAATTAAATTGAACATCTTGACGATACGAATTGAATACTAAAATTGATTAGAAGATATCGTTTCAATCTTACATGTTTATAGTCTCGATTAGATGAATTCAACAAACATTAGATCATTTGATTTGAGATCATTAAGGTGTTTCAAATGCTAAATAAATGATAGAGTAAGGGTTCATTTTTGGTTGTTTGATGAGGTGCACTCAAAAAATAATAAATAGGATTTTATTTTCTACATGAGAGGTTCTGGAGTTGAGAGATTTAGAGAATTCTATTTATTATTCGATGATTGTCGTCAATAATTATCATTAATAAACGACACATGTCACTTGATTACTAGCATTGAATTGATTTTTGCTTCACTATCTTAAAATTTTGACCCTTAGTATGTTATTATTGTTCACTTATGTTGTATGATTGTTTTAACCTTTCTTACTTTTTCTATGATATCTCAATGAAAATCGGATAATTATTTTCAATTGTTTATATTCTTATTTTCAATTGTGGGGAAGGGCGGACTCTTCTATCTTTAACTATGTAGTAGGTTGTTATAATTGGGCTATGATTTTTCCCTTTTAGATTTTCTAAATAAAAAATTCTTATGTCTCTTATAAGATTTGTGTATGTGTGCTTGATTTTTGTATAAAGATAAGATATTCGACACTCAATCACTTAACCATTATATATTTTCTAGCACGAAACAAATTTTGTGTTATATGTGAATAAAAATTTCTTAATATATTAGAAATATCAATACAATGGCTGATAGAAGTCATACAAGTAGTAGTGGCTTTTCTTGTTCCAATACTCAATAGAATTGGAATCTATTTGACAATTATGAACACCCTAATTAGGCAAGAGTAGGTTATTGGCATTCAATCTTAGATGATTGGATACATTGGATAGGGGTGTCAGTTCGGGTCAACGGGTCGGGTTCGGGTCGAACCCGAAACTGACCCGGCACTGTTCGGGTCAACCCGAACCCGACCCGTTTTTTAAAATGGGTCAGGTTTCTGGACCCGAACCCGACCCGATTCGGGTCCGGGTCAACCCGAACCGACACGAATGACCCGGAATTGACCCAAAATTGCTAATTTTCGGGTCAAACATTGAAGCATTTGTTCTACATTAATTTTGAATTCAGCATCTAGCACTGCAGCACTACCCACTAAAATATATTTATAGATATTTCTTCTCTCACCACCCCTCATCCACCTCCCTTGCATCGCAACGTCAACTTACATCAAAAGGAACTGAAAGGGAATATGAGGAGAGGAGAGAGAAAAGGAAAAATTCAATTTTTGGTCGTCGAAATGTTTTGCCGTCTTTATGAAAAATCGCTCAGATTGATGTAGATGACTTATTCCCTATTTCTATTTTCAAATATTTTGATTTTGGCCTTTTGATTTCTTCTAAATTGATTTATTGCATTTTCCCTAAAAAAATTACATCTTAACGTTTATTGCCGATAAAGATGTATCATTCAAATAATTTAATTTTTAAATTATTAATTAAGTGTTCTTTTTATAAATAACATTACTTTAATAAAAATCTTTGGAAGGTACAACTATGAGAAAGCTTCAATGGGAAGCTACTAGTGGACATAGTCTTAATTAAAAAAAATATATCATTTGAGGTTAAATGTTAGATTGGGTCTTCGCTCAACTCCTATAAGGCACACCCATACTATAGTCTCAATGGGCAGCTACAACTAGATTTGACCATCACTAAAATAACTTCATGAGTGTAAATGATTTTCAGGGTATCCACTCATCTAAAAATCTCTGAATGTGACAAAACTCAGAAGGTAGAGATTTCTATATACATTCAAAAATCTTAAAATGATAAAAGCCTTAGAATTTATAATTTTTTCGATAATCCAAAATTTTAGAAGGTACAAGTTTTTATTTCTCCAAAAATCTTAGAATGTTAAGAGCCTTAAAAGGCCTATGTTTATTTGATTATATATATAAAAAAAATCTCATATGACTAAAGCCTCAAAATGCATATTTTTCTTTGAATTTCTAAAATCCTTAGTAATTTCAAAGCCTTAGAAGTATCTATTTTTTCGGTTTCGCTAAATATCCCAAAAGGCTAAAAAGTCTTAGAAGGTACAAGTTTCTTTTATTATGAAGTTTGATGTAAAATTTAATTATTTTTTTCTACAATACATCTCAAATGATTTTAATGGCTTAGCCAACAATGCAAGTGCTCATGATCATCAATATTGACACTAATTGTCAACATCAAGCTAAAAGTCAAGTTCAACTTTGACAATACCTAAATAAATTAGAGTACTTTTTTTGGTGTTATCTTCGTCATTAATAGCCATGGTCAAAATTTTAAATCTTGAACCAACTTGATGAAACTTCCATTAAACAATTGACACCTGTGAAGAACAATGTTAATGTTCTTAAAAAGGAGAAGATCAATTTGCTAGTCTTTTGTTTTTTTTTTTTTTTAATTTGTGAATAACTCAAAATTATATTTCTAAATTGGTTGATTTTTTAATAAACTTTTAATTATTGAAAAAATGGCCTGAAATTTTGGACTATATTCTTTTAGACACATCAAACTACAGGGATATGTAACTACAATGTGTTTGTTGGAGTAGGATAACATTTTGGGGGAAAGTTTTTTATTTGTATATAAATTTTGGGTCATATCTTATCACACACATCATGCTACCAAAACATGCAACTGTAATATATCAGTTAAGATAAGGAGAAAATATTTAGAGAAATCTTTATTTGAGATCTTAAATTTTTGGACTCTATCTTATCACACACATTAAATTTTAAAAAATATGTAATTGTAATATGTTTGTTAAGATAAAGAAAGATTCTAATTTGGAGGTTTGTATCTGGATATAGATATTCATATTATTTTTTGGGGGATATTTATATTATTTGATAGATTTTAGGATTTGAGAGGGATTTGAATTGAATTTTTAAGTATTTTAGAACCTTGCATAACAAATATTTTGGTTTGTTAGGAGGTTTTGAAATTTAAAGTTTTAAGATCCTTTGAAAAATTTAAAGCCTAGCTTGCCAAAGTTTCAAGGGTGTATAAATCAAGAGCTTTGAAATGGCAATAATATGTTTTGGTATTGGTTGGCTTATTCTATAAGGGTTTAGTTCTAAGTTATAGTCAAAAGCTTAACATCTAGGATCTAAGGTTAGTACCCTATCAGACATCTAGTGTTTATTCTGCTATTGATTTGTTCGTTTTATCTTATTTTGAGATTTTGTTTTTGTTTTTTACTAGGAGTGGTTAAATTTTAACTTCAACTTTCACAACATTGATTTAAATATTTAGGAGTTTGTAAAACAACAATTTTTTTTTTAATATTATATTATCTTAATCTATTCAGTTTAATATTTTTTATGACTTCAATAATTTATAAAAAATTCTTTTAATTTTTTTATTATTTTTGAATTTTATAGAATTTTTTTAACAAGTTTATTTTTTTTATTAAAATTTTAGGCTTTGTTTGTGAATATTTTTGGCTACTTTTTTTTCATTTTCAATAAATTTTTGTACTAAAAAAATGATTTAGAATGTAGTAAGAAAATTGTAGAGGTATTAGATTTGACTTTTGTTAAGAAAGGTAGAGGCAGACCTAAAAAGACTTGGTTTGAAAATATTAGGAATGACCTTTCTTTATTAGATTTAAACGAGAATTTGACCTTTAATAGGATACAATGAAGAAAAAGGATTCATGTAGCCGACCCCATGTAGTGGGATAAAGGCTTGATGTTGTTGTGTTGTTGTTGTAAAGTAGTAAGAAATTTGTTAAATTAGCTTGCTAAACACTTTGGATTCTGTTGAATATATTAGCTAACACCAATACGTGTGATTTACTTTTCTAAGTTTATCACATATATTGGGGTACATTTGTAGACCACATTTTTATGTGAGGTCAATTCACCACATTCAAATTCAACGGGCATAAGAATCCTTTTTCTAGTAGGATGCCCTAGCACGGTGAAGCCTCTAAGACCTGATCTATCCAATTACATATTGACCTAGCACCTCCTATGATCATCTCTAGTGGTCCATTGAAGCTCTAATGCCCTTCCAATCAATAAACTTCAATAAACCCTAAACCTAAACCGAAATTCTTCATAATTATAATCCTTGCCACTTAGCATGACATATTGAGCCAAACTTCATTATAATCATTAGGAAGTGATGTAAACTTTTTAATGATTATTATTTGAATGATTTGAACTCATTGGGATTCATAGTTGGCTTAGGTTGACCAAATTTGACCCTTAAACCATTTAAAAAGGCTATAATGCACAAAAAAGTATAAAATTACACGCTATACATAATACTATATAATACTACAGGCTAATATAAATATGTGTTGTCTCCTGATATGTTGGAAGATGATGAATTTAACAACTGAGTTCTTTGTGGGTGACCTTGGTGAGGACGAGTAGGCTCTGGGTGAGTTTACAAGTGAGCTTAGCGAGTGGTCAGGCATGATTGATTACTTGTGTAGAAGATCTTATGCTGCCTTGATGAAAAACATGAGTGAGATTTTGCACGAATATAGCTCTTTAAGCTGAAAAGTAGTGGTTAAACAATGGGGAATTTTTGTAGTAGACACTTTCTTGTAGTTGTGTTGGGCGAGCTTGAATGTTTAGTGGGAACTCTTAAGAGAGTTGTGAGCAATGGTTTGACGATGGATCTCAGATTCACCACGTATAGG